ACCCCACCCAAAAAAGGGGGAAGGGAGCCAAATGGCAGCACTGCCTGATCCCAATCCAGTGCTTTAGCCTCTGTCTGCCCTCAGCTGGTCCTCATCTACCTACCTTCTTAAGAACATAAGAAGAGCCCTGTAGGATCAAGTCAATGGCCCACCTAGTCCAGCATCCTGTGCTCCCAGTGGGAAACCTGCAAGCATGACCCAAGCACAAGAGCACTCTGGAGTTTCCAGCACCAGAGTCCAGTCCAGTGCAGTCCAGGTGGCTGTCAGGTTTCTCCTTCTTGGTCTCAGGGTTGTCCTTGTAGAACTCAACAGGGAGGAGGAGAATGGGGACCAAACTAGCATTAGTTGGCTCTGTCATTGGCTCCATAGCCCAGGTAAAACCAGGGATGTTCCTAGGGGACCAGATTTATCGGACCATACCAGCCCCCTACCTTGCAGAAATCCATTATGTGGAATACCGTAGACTTCTTACAGCGGCTAGATTAAATGTCCTTGACTCTGCGATATTGTGGGGAAGGTACAGGGGAGTACCATACGCCCAGAGAACCTGTCATTGTGCCATGGGTGTGGTTGAGTCCACCGAACACATTCTCTTGACTTGCCCTTCTTATGCAGAGCTTAGACAAAATTTTATAGACCCACTCTTCTGTCAATTCAGCTTCCTACCTGGAGAAAACCAGGTTTTACACTTGCTGAATAACGCCACTAGAGCTATACCTTCCTTGGTGGCCAAATTTCTCTTCTTAGCTTTTAAGCGTCGCAAGACTATAATTGACTGTATTGATATGGGGCTATCTGTTTAGCCCATTTTAGTGTTGGCTAAGTTTTAAAATTTTCCTGGATGTTTTTAACTGTGTATTGACAAAATGTACTTTTTTCTGACTGACGGTCGAATAAAAAGGATGATGATGATGATGTCATTGGCTCCGGTGCCAGTTACTGTTAGGTCTCCCTGCCTTGCCCCCTACCAGTCTCAGCGGACAGCAGCCCCCACTGTTCAGAACCTTCCTAGAAATTCAGGAGATATCATTCTGCCAACCCCATAGAAACGTAATGTGCCAAGTTCTGCAATGCCTCTAGTCCAGGCATGGGTGACTAGGGGGCTCTCTAAGCCGGAAAAGGATGTGCAAAAAGTACCGCCCTATTCTGCCTTGTTCAGACCACACCCAGTATACTGTGTCTAGTTTTGGGCACCACAATTTTAGAATGATATTGCAAGCTGGAACATGGGCAGAGGAGGGCAACCAAGATGATCACTGTCTGGAAACCATGCCTTATGCTTGAGAGAGCTGGGTATGTTTAGCCTGGGAAAGAGGAGACTGAGAGGAGATATGATAGTTACCTTCAAATATCTAAAGGGCTGTCCCATGGAAGAGCAAGCAAGCTCCTGCTCTGGAGGGAAGGACCCGAACCAATAGCTTCAGGTTACAAGAAAGAAGATTCCGACTAAGCATCAGGAAGAACTTTCTGACAAGAAAGGCAATGTTTACAGTCATTACTCCACCTACTTTTGCTTCTGGCCCCTCCCATCGGTGGCATATGGCCCCTGGAAAGCTGCCCAGAACAGAATGTGGCCCTCTGCTGCACAGCAACAGAAAACAAATCTTCTCTGCCATCTTTGCCAAAGCTGCTACTGTTTCTCCTCTTAAGCTTTCCTTTTCCAGGCTGGACATAAACTTCATAAAGCCCTTTAGACACTTGAGAAACACTAGATATAAAACAAGCAGAAAGTGCCCAACTTTGCTTGGAAACTCAGAGAGAGAGAGAGAGAGAGAGAGAGAGAGAGAGAAAGGTTTTTAATTTCATTTTTTAAAAATGCTGTTGGGTAAACAATAATATACAACCCTGCCCAATCTGGTAATAGCAGGGCAGTTTTTAAAAGCAAGCCTGCCATTTGGATCCACAGTGGTGCTTGACTGTATACAAACAGAGGCAAAAGCCTGCTCTCTTCAGTTCTAGGAACCGCTAGGCCAAATTCGGTCACTGTACCTTTAAGAGGCATTTGAATGCAGAGCAAACAGGCAAACAAACAACTTTCCAAAATATATAGTAGCAGTCTAGATAGAAGGTGGATAGATAATGATATGGTATCATCATCATCAGGTTGCTGACCACAGAGGGCTGATGGGGACCAGGTGCAAGAAGCAAAATGGGGAAAAAAGACCTTGAGCAAAACCAGCCAAGCCAAGAATATTTTGAGAGTTGGAAGCAAAGAGAAAACAGAGCAAAAACCGGACAGCTTGTGACACTCTTCTCTTCACCTGAGGTGGTGAGAGACGTAGGCTTAATCAACACTTTTTAAGTGACAGGCAAACTGAAGGTGCAGTGAGTAATCTGGGTTGATGCCGGATTTAACATTGTGCTTTTAATATAAAAAAATCATAATATTCTGCAACGCACGCAGTATAATTATATTATGCTTGAAACAGCCCAGCCATTGAAACAAGAATAGCTCCCAATATTTTTCCATCAGTCAGATTTGGAAGAGAAGCCTTTAAAAAGGGAATATGAGATCTGCAGCAGAACTGCAAACAAATCATCTCTTGCAGGAAAAAGCTCTCTTCTCCCTCTGCAGAAATAGAGGAGGAAATATATTTAGCTAAACGTGACGTGCACTAGGATCAGATCCAACAACAAGCAGGTGATCTCCTGAATGTACAAACAGCAACACGCTTCCATGGGTGTTTAGAGAGACTTATTCAGTCCAAGAGCATCAAACATATCTCAAAGTTCTTTCTCCAGGGAAAAAGCTCAACACAGCGAAAGAAAAGTCATGGGATGTATAGCTTCTGTCTGAAGATGCAAGAACCCTGTTCAAAATGCATTGGAAGCCTTTTTTGACTGAATAAACCTGAATATATAGTTTTGCCTCAACCAGAGAGATCAGTGATACCCTGCTAGAGACCAAGGAAGCTGTTTATCCTATTGTCCATCTAGCTCAGTGTTGTCTACTTGACTGGTAGCATCTCTTCCCCATCACCAGCTATCTAGACAAGACCATTAAAAAACACAGAGAGACTGAACCTGGGACCTGCATGCAAAGAGCTGCTCTACCACCGAGCTATTTCACTTCCTGTGGTCCCCAATTGCACTTCCCATGGTCTCCAATTACAGGCATGGACTTCCCATGGTCTCAGATTACAGCCACTCATTAAACAAGGGCAATGAAGTTGGGAGCGTATCGTTTCAAGTTGGCTTGAGCCCCAGAGTCCCAAGCTCTGGAAGAAATGGGGGAGTGTGGACTGGAAGAGGCCAGAAGGCACCAGCAAGGACAAAAATATACCATAGTTTTTGCTCTATAAGACGCACCAGACCACAAGATGCACCTAGTTTTTGGAGGAGGAAAACAAGAAAAAAAATATTCTGAATCTCAGAAGCCAGAACAGCAAGAGGGATCACTGTGCAGTGAAAGCAGCAATCCCTCTTGCTGTTCTGGCTTCTGGGATAGCTGTGCAGCCTGCATTTGCTCTATAAGACGCACACACATTTCCCCTTACTTTTTAGGAGGGAAAAAGTGAGTCTTATAGAGCAAAAAATACGGTATCCCCTTCCTGACCTACCTCTCTCCACCTGGTTCCATCACTTGACAAGGAGGGGGCAGATTTGCATGCCTGTCAATACAATAATACGTCATCGGTTTTTAAAAAACATGCTAAATAGCAGAGCTAGAGATATGAAACACAGGCAATTAGCCCCTTCATCCATTATTATCCCATAATTAATTCTGCAAAGTCCCCAGCAGAAGCTGCAGTAAAGGCCACATGCTTACATGTTCTTGACTATCACAGGGCTGCACCTTGGAGTGACGTCATGTCCAGATGTTGCGAATTAGGGCCAATTCAGAAGGGGACCAGGGTGCTTTGATGGAGAGCAGGGTGAGGCGTTGCCGGGGTAAGTATCCAGTCCACAAAGGCACCACCCTCATTGCATAGGCAGCAAGATTCTCAGAGAGAACAAGAGAAAAGTCTCTTCAAAGCCGTATCATCCCCAATCATAAAATGCACCAAATCCAATTTGGACACCATCGATTTTTTTATGTAACTATTTCAGAGCCCCAAGACCTGGAGAAGGGAATATTGATCAGCTAAAGAGTCAAATCTTGGCAAACAGCACTCCAAGACCAAGCTTGACAAATTGAAGATGATAATTAAAAATTGAAACACCATGGCAATGTGGACTTTTTCTACTATTTCTAGAGACCTTCAGCCAAAGACCTATCGGCTCAGCTTTAAAAAATAAATAAATGTGTAGGCAAAAGTCTCCCCCAGTTCCACCACCTCTCCTGGCTCTCTGTCCCCCTGGGTTGCAGTCTCCAAAGTGGGGTTAAAGGAATGCAGACCTGGGGGCTGAATGGCTAGGGCTATGCATCCCCCAGTCCCATATCCAGTTTGGGGCCCAATCCAACCCAGGACTCTCCAGTGCCAGCCAACCCGGGTCCAGGTCCTGAACCAAAGGAGATGCCTTGCACAGTATTTAATTGTGCAATAAACTTGAAATCAGAAGGAGAGGGGCGAGATGCACAGAGGCTACCTGCAAGCATTACCGTCTCGCTCTTGCCTCTCCTTGCTGCCTGGATCACCCTGCGTGGACCCAATTTGTGCTGCAGCGATCTGGGTCTGCCTCCTGGATGGAGCACAGTGTGTATGTACCGTATTTTTCACTCTATAAGACGCACCAGACCACAAGACGCACCTAGTTTTTGGAGGAGGAAATCAAGAAAAAAAAATTCTGAATCTCAGAAGCCAGAACAGCAAGAGGGATCGCTGTGCAGTGAAAGCAACAATCACAGCCTGCATTCGCTCCATAAGACGCACACACATTTCTCCTTGCTTTTTAGGAGGGAAAAAGTGAGTCTTATAGAGCAAAAAATACGGTATATACAAATATAAAGGAACACAGGAAGCCGATTTATACCAAGTCAGAGCATTGGTCCATCGAGCTCAGTATCGTTTGACTGGCAGTGGCTCTCCAGGATTTCAGACAGGTTCTCACCCAGTCCTAGAAGTGGGCGTCAAGGGCAGAACCTGGGACCTTCCGCATGCAAGGCAGATGCTCCACCACTGAGCTACAGCCCTTTCCCTTAGAACCCTCCGAATTTTGTGTGCTAAAATATCGCTGATGAAGTTAGCATTCAGTGCTTCACCCACTTTTCCCTCTGGCTAAGCATAACTTATAACGCATAAGGGGCAAAAAGTGGCCTTGCAGGCTTCTCTACATGGCCCTCACAGCTCTCCCCAGGCCACAACCTACCTGAGCTACCCCTCTCACAGGCCATGCTGTGCACCCTTCTTGAGTGCTGTTGCCTGAGCAGAATGCATCCTTGAACTCTGATCATGCCTCTCGCTGGCCAGGACGGAGAACAGAGAGGAGTGAGGGTGTGTGCACAGAGACCAGCAGTAGGTGAAATTCATACTCATTCCTTCATCCACTTTTGTCTCTGTCTCTGCACCTAACCCCCCCTCCTGGGGGGGTGTCTCTCTGAAGGCTGCCCAGAGCCCCAGCTCTCACTGTAGGGCAGAAAATGGGGGTTCTTTTCACCATTTCTACCAAAAGCTTTAAGGCATAAGGAACAGCAGTGCATAAGTCAGGTTGCAAGGCACAGGTTCAACAGGTATGTAAGAGCTAGGAGAGAATGCCATACCTTCCAACATTTCTCCAATGAAAATAGGGATGTTCTACTCCATTATTATTATTATTATTATTATTATTAATATCCCACCCATCTGACTGAGTTGCCGCAGGCTGGATCCAAACACATCAACAAAGCGTTTCAGGAAAACGCGTTGTAAACCTCAAAATGGGAAATCATGTTGGCAAAAGATGGAACTACACAGCACCATCTGGTGTCACAGTATTAGAATGTATATAAAATGTGGCTTCCATCCTATCCAAAAGCATAACAAAACATTAAAAACTTCCCTATACAGGGCTGCCTTTGGGTATCTTCTAAAGGTTGTATAGTTACTTATCTCCTTGACATCTGATGGGAGGGTGTTCCACAGGGTGGGTGCAACTACCGAGAAGGTCCTCTGCCTGTGTAAGCGAAGATGTTGATCCAACAAGCAACACCCATCCCGAATATTCATTTTGAAGTGCAAGGGGCAAGCAGCTCTTTTCACAAGCCAGCGGCCTCTCCTTTGAATCATCTGTCTTTGAAAGGCTTGTTCACACTGCCACTGATGGCATGTGTCCTCAGATCAGGACCAGACTTATTCTTGCTCAGGATCAGACTTATTCAAAGCCGCCTCCCTAGGAGGGAGGGATTGCTCCCTGGTAGGAGCCAGGGCAGGAGTCAGCTTCACTGCATGTGGTTTTAGACTTGGGACACCCAAGGGTGGGGTGCTCTTCTGACAGCCTGCTCGGCCCCTTCCCAGGATCTGAACCTCCACCCCCGAGCCTCAGGGTCCGGGGTCCTGATAGGCTCTCCAGCAGCATGCCAGGACCTGACCCAGGGTCAGCCAGCTCCAACTCTCTGATCGCCTCCCAGCCCCCTTCCAAATCCAGCCAACTTCTCTAAGACATCTCCACAGGACTCATGGCTCCCAAAAGGAAATGCAGCCCTCTGGCTGAAAAGCAGTCCCCACCCCTGCTGTTGGTAAAAGAACAGTCACACAACCCATCCAGCTTAGCTTTAGGGGAATAGTCCTGTAAAGTCTGATACAACGGGCATGTGCCCGTGTGTAAATGGTCTGTGAGATTAACCAGCAAGGCCTTAAATGGCACAGGATCGCAATAATTCAAGGACTGCCTCTCCTCATTTAAACCTGCCCAGATCCTGTGATCATCAATTGAGGGCCATCTTCGTGCGCTTTCTCCACAAGAGGTCTGGAGGGTGGCAACATGAGAACGGGACTTTTCTGCAGTGGCTCTCTATTTGTGGAATGCACTCCCCAGGGAGGCTCGCCTGGTGCCTTCATTGTACACCTTTAGGCAAAAAAAGTTCTCTTCAACCAGGCCTTTGGCTGATAAAACAATCTATGACTATTTAAACGTATTTGTGGGAGGGGGTTTATTGGGATTTTTTTGTTTTGTTATTACGTTGTGTATTTTGTGTTTTCATTTTGCATTTTTATGTTGCAAACCGCCATGTGATCTTCGGATGAAGGCCAGTAAGTAAATTTATAAATAAAATAAAATAAACAAACAGACAAACCTCATTGTCAATGTGCAACACACACTCCATTTTTCTGGCACTCCCTAGCAACAGTTTCCACTAGAGCAGAATTCCTGGTCCATATATGCTCATCCATGGGGCACTGCCACAAATGCTTTTGCCCCTCTGAAGGCTCTGGAATCTTCCACCAGGTCTACCCCACTGCTGCAACAAGCCTCTTCCGAAACCAGTTGGAAAGCTAGTGAGCAAACAGATTCCATTAAAACATCACCACCACCTGGCATGGCAACCAGAGTGCTGGTTTTCCAGAGCCCCAAGGGAATAGCCAAACCGAAAAGCAGCAGGAAAATGTCCTTTTTGTTGAGCTAAATCTGCAGCACAAAACCATTTTGAAAGTACATTTCCATAAGCATAGCTGCTCAGAGATGTACACCCACAAGCTATCTTCACCATGGTAGCTACCCACACCAGAGAAGATGGGGATGTCAGAGAAAAGATTGCTATAATGAGCTGGCAGGTGGTGTGCGTTTGTGTAGTATAGCTTGAAATGTAGTGGATCTGTTTGCTTTCAAACTGGGGAACTCAGCAAAGGTATGGAAGTGAACTGGGTTTGCTCATTCATTGACAGCTTAGCCTACCTCACAGGGTGGCTGTGAGGACAAAGAGGCATGGTCCTTGTTTGTAGCTCTGTTCTCCTTGGAAAAAAGTCCCTCTGTCTCAGATACTGTTTTATTTTATTTGTTTATTACATTTCTATCTCACCTTTCCTCCAAGGTGTCATATTAGTTTCTCTCTCTCTCTCTCTCTCTCTCTCTCTCTCACACACACACACACACACACACACACACTTTATCCTCACCACAACAACCCTGTGAGGTAGGTCAGGCTGAGGGTGAGTCACTGGCCCAAGGTCACCCAGTGAGCTTCATGGCAGAGTGGGGATTGAACCCTGGTGTCCCAGGTCCTACTCTGACCACCACACCACACTGTTAGAGGGAGAACACAGAGTCCCTTTCTTCAAGGAGAACAGAGATACACTCAGGGGCTGACCCTCTTCATTCTCACAACCACCTTGTGAGGTCTGCTAGCTCAGACCCAAAGCTCCTTCTGGCCAGGTATCTTGCTTTTCACAGCAGCCAAATCAAAGCCCGCTTGAGGCTATCCTTGGCAGTCTCCTCTCTGAGACCCCCTGGTAGCAACAAGCAGTCACCATGCATTGGTTGGCACGTATCATGGCCACAAACTGAGAACTTTCAGTGTCATTGTTCTCTAGAAGCAGCACCTCAGAGGAGGAGTCTGCCCACTCCCAAGTAGGGCAACCCACCTCAGATTATGTACTAGAATTCAGGGACAAGCAGCTGCCCTTAAGTCTCCATGCACCTTGATTTCCTCCAGTGCACAAAAAGGCACAGGGGAGCATCCCTCAACCAGGCCAACACTGCTCCAACATTCACCCCAGCAACTGAAGCTCAAGATCCCAGGCCCTTTATAATACAGCACTTGAAGCATGACGGAGACACTTCCAAGAGGTTCTCCTGGACAACGCTAAACTCCTGACAATCTCTCCAAACGGATTTTGAGGCGTTAGGTCTCTTCTCATTACTTCATGATCACTAGCCATGGTCCAAAACTCACACCAAGAACCTCTGGACCAAAACCTTCAGGGTCCTGAACCAGCACTCCTCCAAATCAGGACCTCCTAACTGCCTTACTTGGTGTCCTCTCAGCTGAGCAGCCAACTACCTAGGACAGCAACATCCCTGATGGGTCAGGGCCCTAGAACAGCCTCTCAAACTTGGGTTCCCTAGATGCTGTTGGACTACAACTCCCATCATTCCTAGCCACCACAGCCAGTGGTCAGGGATTATGGGAGCTGTAGTTCAAGAACATCTGGGGACCCAAGGTTGAGAAAGGCTGGTCTAGAGCAATGCTATTTTAGAGGAACTGTGGGGGATTAAAATTGTACTAGCTCACAGATGAAGACATTCAGTGTTCGTGGGGGAAGAGGCAGACTCAGAAGGGTCACCCATTTACAGTAGATGATGCCAGGGCACTGAACTTTGGCAACATGCCAACTCCTGGCCTGAACCAACTAGATGCCTCCTGGGAAGAATACCTTTGTCATTTGCTCACAGCATCAGCAACAACCAACAATGGGGACCTCGGGACCTCCAGACCAGCTCCCTTCATCTCTGAAATCTGGAAGGCTTCCCCAACCCAGAGGCTGACCTCCACTTCATACATTTGCCTCATTTTCCTTTCAACTCTTGGGACAAAATCGTTTGATGCCCCCTAAGACTTTGGGGGGAAACTGAGTCCTTGCGTGTGTTTCCCTGCTTCAGTCTTCTTACAATCCCCTCCCTTCTCCCATCACCCCCAGTCACATCTATTTGGTTGGCCTGTGTCTCAACAAGGACCAGGCTACTACGGGTTTTGTTTCACTACATTTCCCAGCAAGAGCTGATAAAACACCAGCCCAAGCACTCCACTGGGAAGAAGAAAAATGTAATTTGCGACTCGGGACCTGTGAATTTGCCAGGAGGATTTGTGATTAGAAAAAGTTTCCCCATGTGACGCTCTCGTTCTCACTCATTCACTCTTTTCACACACAGGGAGATACATGGTTGGTTTTGTCAGATAAGCAGAAATTGATATTTTTTATAAGCTGGGGGGTGAAAATGGGAAGAAATTGCAGAAAGTTCCTTTTCCCAGAAGTAGGAAATCTGACCTCTTCCTTTGAGGAAGGGCCATAGCTCAGGGGTAAGAGCTTCTGTCCTGCATGCAGAAGGTTCCAGGTTCAATCCCAGGTGGGGCTGGAAAAGACTCACTGGCTGAATTCCTGAAGAGCCAGTTAGTATTTCCTTGTGGATCTAAACTGGGTCACTGTCTTATCACACAATTATGGTTAACCCAGTAAATTTTGCTAGGTAAGTTCTCTAAAATTGTTGGCAGAGGGGAGGAACATGCTGAACTAGTTTCAAGCACATACTAGCCATAGGAAAAAAAATGGATTACCAGCAAATCTATATCCCCAACTGCCCACAAAGAGAGTGCAAGGCTGTTGAAAGCGCTAGACTTTATTGCATTTGTACAGATCTGATCTCCTGCCAACCTAGCAGTTTGAAAGCACGTGCAAGTAGATAAATAGGTACCTCTCTGGCAGGAAGGTAAATGGCGTTTCCATGCGCTGCTCTGGTTTCGCCAGAAGCGGCTTAGTCATGCTGGCCACATGACCCGGAAGCTGTACGCCGGCTCCCTTGACCAATAAAGCAAGATGAGCGCCACAACCCCAGAGTCGGTCACGACTGGACCTAATGGTCAGGGGTCCCTTTACCTTTACTTTACAGATCTGACAGGATACAGAGGTTTTCCTGGTCACCATTTGCAGATTTCTTTAACGTCATGCAGTATCATCATAGCTTTCTTCTACAATACCAACAAGCACTTGTCAACAAGAGGCTTCATATCTCTAAATGTTAGCTACAGTCAAGTCCCATTGATTTCAAATGTTAGTTCACACGTGATTCTTCTGATGACCTGCATGTGTGAAGGAATGGTCACAGTTAGCATGTTCACCGACACATTGCGTTGGATCCAAGTTAAGTCAGGCCCCATCTGCACTATACACATTAAAGCAGTAATGTACTGCTTTAAACAGTCGTGGGGAAGAATCCTGTGAACTGCAGCTTGTCAAGGGTCCTGACAGTAGTTAGGAGACCCCTATTCACCTCACAGAGTTGCAGTTCCTAGAGTCACTGACAGTCACGGACTTTGGCAATCTTCGGTAATATGGCGCCCTGAGAAAAGCCAAAATTTGGCACCCCAAAAATGGACCTTCTCAATTATGGATCGTCTCAATTTTGTGCCCCCTCAACTCGGTGCCCTGTGCTGAGGAACCACCCGCACTGCCCTAAATCCAGCAACAGTCCTTGGGAAGAGGGATTGATCACTCTGAGCACTGTAGCTCTTTGAAGGCAACAAGGGCCTCCTAATTTCTCTCCAAACCCTTAACAAACCACAGATCTCAGCATTCTTTGGGGGAAGCCATGATTAACATTTCCTGTTGGTTCCACTGCAGCCTAACTAAGCTGAACTTAGTATTTACGTGAGAAGAGGTTTAGCTCACATATTTAGATGTCAGTCAGAAAGTGTGCAGTAAGCAATGTGTGTACTGTACATGTGTGAGCACTCTGCACGTACATCCTGTGTACATATGTAAACCAACCATTGCTGTGACTCATGTGGGCTGGATTGTGCTCTCAGCCACTCTGCTTTATCAATACATAGCTTCTGGAACCGCAAACAGGTACCACTTGCTTTTTAAAAAAAGAAAAATCTTCAGTGACCACGATGGCTAGATGCTTCCTTCAATTCAACAATGTTTGATCCATTCTAAAACAGAAGGAAACCACTGAAGGGGGAAGAGATTACTTAGGTTTGTCCAGGAGGCATGTGCATAAAAACTGATGCAACACTTTCAGAACAAGCAAGCATGGATCTGTGCCTCAACTGAGGAGTCTGACGTGAGGCATGCAGCTTGCTAATAGAAAGCCTGCAGGTTTCTTAAAAAGAGGAGCAGAGAGTCCCAAACTCAGTGTGAAGCAACACAGAAATAAATCACAGTCGCACCAAGATCCGAAGGGGAGGAAAAAGAGGAGGCAAGACTCAGTCTTCTCAAAAGGCTGCCAGCTAAGTTCGGCTCTCCCATCTTTTCTTTAGTGTCGCTGTGTGTTTTTTTAACAATGCTGTTTAGGAAGCCGAGAAGCCCATTAGGCCTCAAACAACTTGACTGTGTTCAAGGAAGGCAGAAGGATGGCTCTCTTGCCACCCAACTTGGCTTCCGAGATTTTCGTCACGTTAAAGAGATGGGGGGGGGGACTGTCAACATAGATCAGCAAACGTTTCGCCTCAGTAATTCTTTACAGGAAAAAAAGCAGCAACAACCACCTCCCGGCCAGCACACTCTGCTCAGGAAGGCGACGCAATTCCACAGAGATATTAGGAAAGCAGGCTGAAAAGGCAAGGAATTGGGTGGGGAAAGATATACCCAGTATCAGGCACAAAACACAGCCTCTTGATCAACTTTGTCCTTTGCCACAGAAAAAGGAGAGGAGGAGAGAGAAGAGGGGAAGCAGCATTCATTAACTTTTTTTTTAGAACTGCTTCGATCCAGAGTTACTGCACTGGAGAGAGAGAGTACAAAACTGAAGTAACAGGAAGGGGGGGTGCAATATTATAATAACCCCTAAATCCCTTAATTTAATAAGGGGGGTTTCCAGTCTGAGGAGGTTTCCCACTGCATCTCTGATTGAGTTACCAGCTCTGTTTTCTTTTCCTTGATCACACGTATATTTTATTTATTGTAATTAAAAGAATTCACATGCATCTCAAAGTGACTTACAAGCCTTTGAAGTACAGTGGTACCTTGGGTTACATACGCTTCAGGTTACATATGCTTCAGGTTAACCCAGAAATAGTACCTCCAGTTAAGAACTTTGCTTCAGGATGAGAACAGAAATCGTGCTCCGGTGGCACGGCGGCAGCTGGAGGCCCCATTAGCTAAAGTGGTCTTCAGGTTAAGAACAGTTTCAGGTTAAGAACGGACCTCCAGAACGAATTAAGTACTTAACCTGAGGTACCACTGTACACATTTTATTTTCAAACACAGATGGAAACACTGGGAAAGAAAAACCTCGGAGCAGTGGTTCTCAAACTTTTTTCCTTGGGCCACACTTTCAGAATAAATATTTGCTCGTGCCACACTGAATATTTTATTGATAAGAAATACATTGGGACACAAAAAGAAGCAACCCCTAGTAGTGCTTGATTTATAACATAGAACACAACTACTTTGTAATATGATCATGGGACATCCAGAAAGTTAAAAAAAATAATGAAGCTACATAAGACCAAGAATCATTCCCAAAATATAATTATGAATGAGCCCCTTACCTATGTACCTTAAGTCTGTATACAAACTCAATGAGAGGCGTGAGCTTGCTTTTGCCAGGTAATCTCCTTTATTTTAGGTCTAATTTGAGACAAACAAACTCTCATCTCCTCATCAACACAAAGAATCCTTTCCCTTTTCTGACCTTTTGTATTTGTCAGAGTTTAAAATCCCTGTTCACAACAATATCTGGTGGAGAACTGTAGAAGACTAGGCAATGCTCTTGAAGAAAAGCATGGATACTGGTTCTGCCTGTATACCCAAAATAAATTGTTTTGATCCTATACTACACTACCTTGGAATGTTTACATGTTTCCTTGGTTGTCCTTGAATCTTCCTGCCACACTTGCCCTGCCCTCCTGCCACGCCAGTGTGGCGCACCGCACCCTTTGAGAACCATTGCCTTAGAGCCATGCTCACAGGGCAAAGGCCTCACAACCATCTTCCCCCCAAATCCTCAGGGCAACATTCATGGTTCTCCCACACTTACTCACATCGGCCCTGCAAGGTGAGCTTCGAAGAGAGAGTGGCCCAGTGCCATGCAATGAGCTTCACACCTGTGTCCAGGTGGGAGCCTGGCTCCCACACTCTTAACCGCTACCCCAAGTCAGAAGCACACCTGGAAGCAGCACACCTACAGGAACCTCCTTTGAAGACCCGCTTCCATATGTTTGTTTATTCAACAAAATCTATATATGCTTGATTGGTCTGACTCACTCTAAGGCAGCTTCCTATGTTCTCTGCCCAGGTGCTGATTACACAAATATGTGCAAGGCATCACTACTTTTTTTGAGGGAGGAAAGGGCCATAGATCAGCTGCAGGGACTTTCTGCATGCTAGGCAATCTCCAAGTTAGGAAGGAATCGTGTCTGAAACATTGCAGAGCTGCTGCCAGTCTGTGTGGACAGTACTGAGCTAGATGAACCAAATGGCCTAACTCAAAAGAAGGCAGAGTCCAATGTTCCTATACAGCAGGGTCCGGAGGCAGGCTTTCTCTGTGGTAGCTTCTCGCCAACAGAATGACCTCCCCTCTGAGGTGTGCCTCACCACAACATTGCTTTTCTTCCAGCAACAGATGGAGATGGGCCTCTTTGTCCAGGATTTCATGGCGAATTGACACAGACACAGACACCGGATAGGAATCGCTTTGCTTTTGCCAGCAGGGGTTCCATTGATTTCTAACATAGTTGTGGAATTTGTTGTTTCACTCCGAGGGTCATCTAGTCCAACCCCCTGCAATGCAGGAATCTTTTGCCCAATGTGGGGTTTGAACCCACAACCCCGAGATCACGCAGCAACATCTGGAGGGCGCAAGGTTCCCCACAGCTGCTATGGGGCACCTCAAAGCAGTTTACAATTATGCGCAGTGCTTTTTTTCTTTTAAAAAAGAACGTTTAGGAGTACTCTCATTTTCTTACTCATATTGAAATACAGTCATACCTCGGGTTGAAGTAGCTTCAGGTTAAGCATTTTCGGGTTGCGCTCCGTGGCGACCCGGAAGTAATGGAGTGCGTTACTTCTGGGTTTCGCTGCTCGCACATGCGCAAATGCTCAAAATGACGTCACGCACATGCCCGGAAGCGGCGAATCGCGACCCGCGCAGATTCAGGTTGCGTTCGTTTCAGGATGCGAACAGGGCTCCAGAATGGATCCCGTTCACATCCAGAGATACCACTGTACTGCCCCTCAATGAGGCCAAACTTAGATTCACAAAATGTTTAGGGGTATGCGTACCCCTGCGTCCCCCCAGAAAAAAGCACTGATATTTTGATCGAAATAAATATTAATAATAAAATGTCCGGTAGCACCTTAGAGACCAATTAAGGGAGATATTTTGATGTGTGTTTTTGGGTTGTTTGCTTTCTGTCCAGGAACCTTTGGGTAAAGAGTAGATTATGCAGAGAGGGAGAGAGGGAAAGAGAAGGGAGATGAACTTATCTAGAAGATGTTTCAGACACAGAGCGCCTTGTGGTTCCCTGAGATTTTGAGAACCTTTACAATAAATGCAATGGAAGTCCTTCTTCCATTGCCACAGGCTTGATATCATCTTTGTCCTCAATGCATACACACACAAAATACTCACATGGCATCAAAGTCACAGGCATGCACACAAAACCCTCCCAAGGACCAAAACCACAAGGATCAAAGCCTGCACACAAGCAACACTAAAAGTCATTCATCTCTCTTGGACCCCAGGATGAAAAGATACAAACAGGTGCAGCCCTGAAGCTACAGAAGAGCAAAACAAGGTTTCGCCTCCCCTGTGGGCAAGATCAATGGTCTATCAAGCTGAGAGTTTTCCAGGCTTCTGATAGTGGCTCAGTGTGGGCTGGGGGGTTCCTAAATTCTAAAAAAAAAATAAATGGGATGTGCCATGCTTTTACACTCTCTCAGAATTTGGCTGTAAGAGGCAATAAGTCATTGCTCTCAGAGGTACCCGTTGCCCTATTTTTTGTTAACGACAAAAGTGTGCTTCTGTTGTAAGAACACTTCTCCAGAAGATAAAAGTTCCTTATACTAACTACTCTGACTGGCAGAAGCTCTCCATGGTGCCAGGCAGATGGCCTTCCCCATCACCTGATATTCTAGCCTTTATTTAAAAACAAAAAAAACATATTATATGACAGGGATTGAACCCGTGACCTTCTGCATGCAAAGCACATGCTCAGCCGTTGAGCTATCTGCCTGCTGCATCATGTAATGTTGTGGCAAAGCAGGGAGACAAGGGCACACTAATCCCCAATTAAATCAAACCAATAATCCCAGATCCCTTGCAGACAACCAGTTTATTGAGCATTTGTTTGCACGTTTGCAGGGAGGTTAGGCAATGTCGCCTATTTATTGAACATTCATTTTGATTTGTTAGCAGGGAGGTTAGCTTGATGTTGCATCAAGCTAAAGTTATCCCACACTGTTCCTTCACCGCTTCGTTTATTGCAAAAAAAGCTATTGGGGAGCAGGTTCCAAACCAACTATGATTCTGGTTTCTGGAGCCTGATTTTGCCACACTGTGGCTGAATCCCACCAAAAGATAGCTATAGTCTTCAAGCGCCCCTTGCGTAGACAAAGCCAGCGCAATTTCTATATCAAAATCCATGCAGCTCCAATCCTCTCTTTTAGAAATATCCTTCGCTAATCAAATCAGGGTGTAAAAACTGTTGGTATCTGTTTGACTATACAAAGTAAAGGAAAAGCAATAATGATATGTCAATATCAGATTCCCTGAATTTCTTTTATTTTCTAATTTTCAGTTCAGTTCTTCACATTTTCTATGTCAGCTTGCAATCTCTTTTTCTTTCAAGTCCTCATTAAAAACTTGATTGATTAGTGCAAATTCATCCTAATATATGCATTTTTGTATGCAGATTTGTATACACATTTTTGCAAAGAAATTACCCCTAATAAATGCACATTTCCATTATTTTCATTAATATACACATTAATAGGCACACTTTTATGGATTTTGTACACATTACTTAGCTGGAGAAGTGTGCTGAAAAAGTCAGAGAAGGGTGAGTTTTTATTGTTTCAGAAAGCGCAAATTAAATTTTTCTTCTTCTAGACACAAACTAAATCAGATTTCTCCTCTATTCTTGCTTGAAAAGACCAAAACAAAACCCAAAAATAGCCTCCCTGCTCTGCAAAGAAACTCAGCAAAACGCAAAAACTCGCGGATGCCAAACTCAAATAACAGTCATTGCATTGAAAGATGTCATTGTAAACTCCAGTCCTCTGGGAATCATCACCAACAACCTACTGAACACAGTGGTGAAACTGTGCATTACAACTGAGAGGGACTTGGAGACGCGTATACACAAGCAAACCTGAACAATCACTTTGTGGATGGAGGGGTTTGCAGAGAAAGAGTTGTGAACAGGAAATGCACACTTGTGCCCTGCCATTCCTGTTGGAAATTTGCAAGCCTAGAGAGGGCCCAGTTCAGAGAAGGCAGCAGCAGAGGTGGCCCGCCATGCCGCCTTGGGGTAAAGAGAAAGGGGACGGTATATTTTCCTTGCTGGGAAGTCTTCATATTTCTTTACCCCCACCCCAGAGAAGTTCCCAGACAGCAGCGCATTCTAGCCATTCTGCAGCACAGTTCAGAGACCTTACACTTAGGATTGTGGGTTACTAATCTGAGCCTTTGGCTTAACCCATCCCCACACCAAGCAGACATCTGAGTCCATTTGCAGCTTGGATGTGCATTTACTAAGAAGCCATCTCTGCTCCGATCCACAGGACACGCAGCCAAGGAAATGGGCACAGGATTTCCGCTGTAACGGAACAGAAGCATTGAAAGAATAAACCTGCAGCTGCACTTGTGGGCTGCGGCTCAGTCGTATAGCATCTAGGTCCTAAGGTCAATCCCCACACAGGGGTGGGAATGTCCCCTGCCTGAAACCCCAGAGTATTGTCCAGGACAAGACTGGACTGGATGGCCAATGGTCTGATTCCATATAAGGTAACTTCCTCTCATCAGGAAAAAAACTTTTTGGCAGTAAGAACTGTTCAACCTTGGAAGGTGGTGGACCTTCATTGGAGGTTTTTAAACAGAGGTTGGATGGATCTCTCATAGATGCTTTAGTTGAGATTCCTGCATAGCAAGGGGTTGGACTAGAGGACCCTACAATTCTATGATTATTTCATATTCACCTCTGGTTGCTTCTCACTTCCTTCCTTTAAATTTGGATTGCAAAGCCAAGAGACTGTCATCGGCCTTTGGTTATGTCACCCCGAGTGGCTGGGGCAATCCGGCCAGATGATTGGGGTACAAATAATAAAATTGTTGCTGCTGTTACTTTGTGAACATTCATGTTCATAATATCAGAGAATCAGAGAATTGGAGAGTTGGGTATATCTACATGCACACATGCACAAATAAAGATGGAAGGACGTGCGCCTCTGCAAACATTCTTCATGGGTAAGAAAAGGTAACACGTCTCCAAGACCTGCCAATAAGACTGCACTCCTGACTAGGAAACGAGTCCTGCTGAACTCAACGGAGTTTACTTCTGAGTAAACATGTTTGGGATAAGGCTGTCAATCAGGCATGTAGACCCTTAAGGCCAGAGTCAGCTTGCATGGTTCAGGATATTGTCTCCCAGGGTCAGCTGTCCCCAGCTGCAAAATGGGAACAGGCATTGCAAATCAAGACTTGCAAGGGTTACTCCACTGAAACCAGGAGAGGTTTGCTTCTGAGCAAACAGGGTTACCAAGCGCCTTATAAAAAAATGTCACTGGAAAAGATGGTGAGCACCAAAAGAGTCTTCCTTGCCCTCACTCTAGTCTCGGTGTGGTTTCTTCTTCTTCTTCTTCTTCTTTAATCAAATCAGTGTGATTTCAAGGGGGAAATTTATAACAAGGTTGCCACCTTACACAGGAAGTCACCTAATGCCAAGTCAGAATCCTGGTCCATCTAGTTTAGCCTCATCTACACTGGCTGGCAGCAGCTCTCCCCGGGTTTTGGACAGGGTCTCTCACAGCCCTGTCTGGAGATTCCATTGACTGAACCTGGGACCTTCCATCATGCAAAGCCACAAGCCCTAGACCGGAGCATTTCTCAAAACCCAGGCTCGAACCAGGGACCTTTAGATCTTCAGTCTAACCCTCCCCCAGCTGAGCTATTTTGGCAGATGACACCTTATCCCCTGCACTTTTAAGAACAGCCTGTCAGGGAGGACAAAACTCTAGTCTGAAGCAGAACTCAGTGCACCTAGGCTAGCTTTATTTCCAAAAACAGTAGCCAGAGATGGGGAGAGCTTCACCTGTTGAATTTCAGCTTTGCCATGTACGGGGGAGGTGGGAGTGGCACCCTTAATTGCCGGAGATATGAGATGACGCTAAGGCAGCAATTTTCACACGTGTGGGTGGGAAGGAAGAGACAGACAGACATGACAACTGGGGAGCTAGCTGAGCATGGAAGCGATGGAGGTTCTGCATCCACCTTTCCGCTCTGCCCTTAAGCAAGAGAGCTTCTCATGGCCTCAGTCCACCATGTGTGATAGGGGGATAATAAAACTGACCCAACTTACAGGGGTTGAAAGCAAGATAAGCATCAACAACTAAGGCTCTTGGGACCTAGCTGAGATTCCTGCATTGCTGGGGGTTGGACTAGACGACCCCCAGGATCCCTTCCAACTCTACAATCCTAGCATTATAACATAGTTGCATCGTGGCTTCACTTTCTGCAGAGAGCGGGATGTATCCAAGGCTACTCATACTAAATCATAGAAATTAATGGACATGACTAACTTGGGTCCATTCATTTCACTGGGTCTACTTTGAGCAGAACTTAATTGGCTGGGGCCCCACTGTCTATTTCTGTATCACAAGGCTCTGACCTAGACGCGACTTTCAGACCTACATGAGAGAAAAAGAGCATGTGCAGAGTGCATGCCCCCCTCTCACCAAAGGCAGCCTATTATATACCCAAGGACTTAGTTTGCTGGTTTGTGGGGAGTTTGGGGCATGCATCTCACCTTTAAAAAGAAAAACACATACACATCGTCCAGTTCACTCCAAGGCATCATAAAATAAAACTTTGAAAGCCACACACAATTACTCTGGAAAGCAAAAGAAATACACTCCATATTTGCAAAGTGCGTTTTGCAGGTGGGGAGAAGATGAGTAATGACTCCAAAAGGCAGGCAGGCACACAGGCGCACACACACACACACACACACACACACGCCCACCAACACACCCCTTTCTCTTCCGTTCAGCTTTGCCTGCAAATGAAAAAAAGACTTCTGGGGGGGAAAAATTTTAAAAAGAACTTTCAGGTTAAGAGTCAAACTTTTTGCGTCTTACCTGCGCAGAGAAGGGCGCCGAGCGCCAACAGCAGAAAAAGGCCTTTGGAAAGCGTCGCTCCATGCCCAGGAGAAGTCATGGTGAGGGCTTCGAAAAGGAAGGCAAGCAGTTGCGAGAAAAAGCTGCACGACGGCAAAACTCCTCCAAAAAAAAAAAAACCCACCGCCACACCGGCAGGTCTTCCTGGTTGCGGGGCGGGGTGGGGACCAATAAATATTTTATTTTATTTAAACCGTATTTCAGATTTGGGCTCTTTTTCAACCGGCAGGCATTTCTGGAGTCCGCCTTCCAACCTGCTTGCAGTCCATATAATCCAAAAACTACCTGTGCTTTTTTTAAAAGGGGCGGGGGAAATGAGGGATTTGCTCAGCGGCTCCGAATCGAACCCAAGAAAGCGATTCGAGAGAGCGCTTTCCCCCCTTCACTCCTCGCTAGAAGAAGAAAAGTGGGGGGGGGCGGGGGAGGAGACGTGGAAGGTGAAATTAAATCCCAAATGAAGCTTTCCCTTTAAAGAAATAAATAAAACCGTGAAAGCAGCAGCAAAAAGAGAGAGATAAAAATAGACTTCGATCTTTTGCTTCGAAGAATCGGGGTCCCGGTCAGGTGCGCTCCTCCGCTTGCACCCCTAAAATTCAAGCTGTGCCCCCTCCAGATCGCCTCCAAACATCTGGGGTTTCTTCTGCCGCCGCCGCCGCCGCCTCCTCTTCCTCCGCCCTCCCCACCCCCCCAAAAAAGGACGACACCACCCGGGCAGAGCTTCTCCTTCCGACTCCGGAGCAGCTCTTTCTTGGCTGCGGCGGCGGCGGCGACGATCCGGATTGCCAGGCGCGCCGGGTCTTTAGCGCAGCTCGGCGCCGGCTGCCTCGCGGGGACTTTGCCCGATGCAACTGGTCGGCTGGCTCCTCCATGCCTCTCCCATTTTCCACGCACAGGCGCCCCCACTCCACCCCCAATTCCTCACCCCCTTTAAAAATGCAATTAAATTAGATTTAGGGGGGTGGGAATAAATGCCGGGGAAAGGCGCTCACAGCTTGGCTGCTGACTGATTCAAACTCCTCTCTCTCTCTCTCTCTTTTTCTCTCTCTCCTAAAAAGCCAGAGATGAGTGGGATGGCATGGAAAGGGGGGGAGGGGAAAGAGCTGCGATTGACAAACTATCTTAGCCAATCTCCTTGCCTGGGGGAGGACAGCCTGGAGGGATGGGGGGGAGAGAGAGAGAGAGATGAAGGTTTCCCCTCCCCCCTTCCCTAAACCGGTCTCACATTTATTTTATTTTATTTTATTTCGGGGGGGCCGCCTTTCTGGATGACAGAGATGAAAACAAAACGGAGTCGGAGAGGAAATCGCAGGCAGAGAAGGGCTGCCGCTCCGGGTTTGCTCTGCGTCGTGTGAACGCGTGACGCGGTTCGTTCGTTGGCAAATAGAGCGAGCGCCGGCTGCTTGACTTCCAGAGAACGAAACAGGCGGCCGCGGCTGATCGGCGCTGCAGGAGGAGGCAGGGTCAGGCCTGCTCCGCTGGAATCAATAGGAGAAAGTCTGGCTGAGCTCCATTCGCTTCAGCGGGTCTACTCTGAGTAGAATTTGGGTGCAAACTTGAAAGAAAAGAGTGGGAGCTTTGCAAAAGACAGCTCTGAGCCCTTGCGCTGTTTTGCTCAGGAGTGAGCTTGCAGTGGACACAGTGGGACAAAGTAAAGCTTTCAGATGGGAGCATCATGGGTGTGGGGTTGTGTGTATGGGAAGCTGGAGATCAAGCCATAAACGAGGCAGGCTGGAGATGGAGGGAAAGCACTGAGCCTGAGTATCAGAGTCTGCAAAAGACCTCTGTTGGATCCCCACCATCTCCCCTCTTTCGGTGGGGCTGGGACCCTGGCTCAGTCCCACTGTGTTGCAGGCTTATTCCCAGGGAAGGGTGCAGCCTCAGATCAGAGTCAAAGCTCCTTCTCTATGCACACGTCACTTTGGGAATGTAAGTCTCATTGAACACAGTGGGGTTTACTCCCAAGTAAGCAGGCATGGACAGGGATGCGGGTGGCTCTGTGGTCTAAACCACAGAGCCTAGGGCTTGCCGATCAGAAGGTCAGCGGTTCGAATCCCCGCGTCGGGGTGAGCTCCCGTTGCTCAGTCCCTGCTCCTGCCAACCTACCAGTTCAAAAGCACGTCAAAGTGCAAGTACATAAATAGGTACTGCTCCGACAGGAAGGTAAACGGCGTTTCCGTGCGCTGCTCTGGTTCGCCAGAAGCGGCTTAGTCATGCTGGCCACATGACCTGGAAGCTGTACGCCGGCTCCCTCGGTCTATAGAGTGAGATGAGCACCGCAACCCCAGAGTCGTCCGTGCCTGGACCTAATGGTCAGGGGTCCCTTTACCTTTACCTTTTTACTCACCGTGAAGTTGTTACAGTAAGTGCCACATTTTAAACCAGTACTTTTCTTCTAGAAAAAAATGGTGCCAGTACTGCGTACCCTTCTGTACCTCCGGGGGGGGGGGGGAGCACTGCTCTTATCTAAGTGATTCGCAAAACCTCAAGGACCACCTCTCCCCACAGGAACCTACCAAGACCTTGAGATCATCCTCTAAGGCCTTTTCTGCAGTGGCTCCCCGTTTGTGAAATGCCCTCCCCAGGGAGGCTCGTTGGCATCAGGCAAAAACCTCCCTGTAGAACCAGGCCTTTGGCTATTAAAAAAATCAATGGAAACCAGTTTGTAGGAGGGGGCTATTGGCTTTTTTTGTTGGTTAGTTGGTTGTTGTTTTATTTCGTCGTGTATTTTGTGTTTCCATTTTGTATTTCTAAGCTGTAAACAGAGCGGTATATAAATTTAATAAACAAATAAATGTGTGTGTGTGTTACACTCCCAACTTACATGTGTATGAGATCACAGCCTTAGTCATGTTTTGGAGTGGTGGGGGTGGAATTTAGGGCGGGGGCGGAGGCTAGGGCATCTATCAGCAATGGGCTGTGTCCCTAGAAGCTGCCCTGGCCCTGAGCAAAGGTCCCAGGCAGGGATGTTATATAGAGAGATGGGGTGCAAAGCCCTAGCAGAAAGGCTTGAAAGTATGGCTTTTGTACAGGATCCAGGAGTCGACAGGAAGCCAATGTCAAATCCTGAGTTGGGGCATTGCATGAATGGAATTGCACGAGAGGTGAATGATCTTGGCTGGAGAAAGGATAGGCAGGCAGGTGTAATTATTGCCTCCACTGTGCTGCTTTTAAAGAGAGATGGCCAAGCAACAACTGTGGTTTTCCTTTTCTTCTTTTTCTTTGTTTCCCTGATACTGCTATTCCCGGAAATGCACAAAGCGTCTTTGTGTACGAACCCTGTTAGGTAAAAAACCCATCTGTTTCAAAGCCTGTTTCTTGGGGCTACCTGAGTGAGAGCTCCATCCACCAGCCACTCTCCCCTTCATGTATCCTTAATATGATCAGCAGCCTGTCAATTTGCTGTGCCCCCCACCCACCCCAAACCCCAGATCTCAAAGGCCTGGGTAGCACACAGGACTTTTGATGCAGTTCAGAACCCAAGACTGTTTGACACAGGATGCACAGTGAAGTCGTATCCCATGGCAGATGGTTATCTCTACGTTTTTAAATATGGTTATTTCTACATTTTTAAATAAATAACATGTCTACTTCTCCTGTCACAATTACGGTACATTTCCAGACCATAAAAGATAATGCAATACAAAATGAAAATGTGCAGTAGTTGTTTTTGTTTTTTAATTTGCAAATATAACAAGAAAAATGTTTTATAAAACATTTGCAGAGGACAGTAATAAGAATATTGAATCAATCCCATTAATACAGGCACTCTGGTGGCCCAAATAGGTACCTAAACGAGATCAACAATTATAAGTCATTAGCGGCGAGTGCCCAGGAATTTGTGGAAACCAAAAAATATTGTGAGTTTTAAGTGGATAACGTAATTCGCATTTTTGGACCTGTCAACGCCAAAAGTCGGGTAAAGTCGCAACAAAATCACACTTCGGGTCCAACGAGTTGAGTTTATATAAACAGAAATACAGCTAAAAATCCAAACACACCCGAAGTAATGAATAGTCAAAATAAACTATCAGAAACCTTTAAAACATGCATCACACCACAGCATATGCCAAGGTGAATGGAAAGGTTTTTGAAAGGGTAATTTAGTGGCAAATTCAGAAGTGCTGGACCTCAGCGTGTCAACTTTCATCAATACAGACAGGTATTATATACCCAGAAAGACAATCCCAATTTATTAGGTTCAACAGACAATATATAGAATACTGAGATGGCGAAGGGCTGTGCAGCAGTCGGCATGTTGGGATTTGGGCTTCACATTCCTGATCACCCATGTGGCAGGACGACTGCTGCTGCCGCCGCCATTGGTGTGGAACACTTTTAGGTCCAACAGCCACATTTCCTTCTGGGGGGGCCACATGCCAATGTGGGGTGGGGGCCTGTGGCAAAAGCGGGTGGGTCAACAAATATAAATGTTACCTTTGCACACAGAGTCCCAAACAAAGACGTGCTCTCCCACGCTCTCCTTCCCAGAATGTTTGCACTCGTGTCTCAGCGACGTTTCTTCTGGCTTGGTCATGTCCACAGAATCGAAGGCAGCAGGATCCCCAAGGACGTGGTCTATGGGGAGGTGGCTTCAGGCACCAAGCTTGTTGTTAGACCAACTCTGTGTTACAAAGATGACTGCAAATGTGACATGAAGGCTGACAGCATCAATGCTGCCGTGTGGGAATCCCTTGAAGACGACTGCAGTGCCTGGAGACAGACATTCTGTTTGTGCATCCATAGCAGTGACCAGAGGAGGCATGACCGCTGGGAGGAGCACAGAGAGAAGAAACACCATGGTACATCTGCAGCAGCACAAGCTTCAGCTGCTCCAGCTCCAATGAAACATGTCTCTCCCTTATCGGTCTCTACAGCCACATCAGGCTCCACAACCTTCTAACAGTTGGACTTCACCCGCTAAGGTGCACTCCTCCACTGTCTCTCAAGACAGATGGATGCCAAGCAGACAAGGTGTGAACAGGGAACCAGAGAAGTATGGTTAATATGGGAGGCAGGCAGTTCCTTGGCACTAGGATGAGATGCCCACGAGGGCCCTGGCTTAGTCCTGCTGGCCACATGACCCAGAAGCTGTACGCTGGCTCCCTCGGCCAATAAAGCGAGATGAGTGCCACAACCCCTGAGTCGGCCACGACTGGACCTAATGGTCAGGGGTCCCTTTACCTTTACCTTTTTACTACTGTTAAGAACAGACCTCCAGAACAAATTAAGTTATTAACCCAAGGTACCACTGTTAAGGGGACGCGGGTGGTGCTGTGGGTTAAACCACAGAGCCTAGGACTTGCCAATCAGAAGGTCGGCGGTTCGAATCCCCACGACAGGGTGAGCTCCCGCTGCTCGGTCCCAGTTCCTGCCCACCTAGCAGTTCGAAAGCACGTCAAAGTGCAAAGATAAATAGGTACCGCAGCAAGTATAAAATCAAAACAAATCACTTCAAAGCAGAGACCAATAGATTGAAACACCATCATAATGACCCAATTAGGGAAGGGGGGGCCTTTTACAGAGCTAAATGACTTCAAGAAAACCACTGCATAGTACAAAGTTTAAAGGACCTGGGAAAATAGGAAGGGTATTTGCATGGTCTTGAAAGGGGGTTAAGGAAGGTGCCAGGTGAACCGATCTGGCGAGAACTTCTCTTTCCTAGCTCATTTGGGCCACTTCACCATCTTTGTCTTAAGATATTTAAAGGCCCCAATCGCTCCCTAGCCCGGTTTGGATCACAAACATTTTATCTGTCCCAGTTTGGATCACAAACGTTTTTTCAGTGACTTGAAAATGCCAATGAACTCTGAAAACGCCTCTTGAATGTCTGGAGAGAGGATATTGGGTGGGGGAATGCGTGTGTAGGGGTAAAATTTGCAGCCATTGCTCCACCCCCTTTTGCCTCTGGCACAACCCACCACTGGTTATGTGGCCCCCACAAAAGTGAC